TGCCAATCTGAAAGTAGAGATCAAGAAAGGTAATGTCAGTTTGCAGATCTCAGCTAGTAGGGGTTAGCAAGTTTCAATATAATCTGCCAATTTGAAAAAGGTCAAGATGAACAGATATCAGATGCATATTTTACTTCTGAGAATAACTCCACAGTGTGTACTACTGTTTTTATCTTGTCATCACCATATAAGTACATTTCAGCACTTCCATGATGCACAACAAGTATAAAATTTGATAAAAAATTGCTGAGTGAGTTTTGAGGTCTGTTGTTTGCAGTGACAAGGAGCTATAACCAGAAAGACATCATCACTATCAACATCATCAATGACCTCATCAGTGCTTATTTAATTTCAGACGAATACTGGCCAATGTGAACATTTGCCTTACAGATTTTGAGTGTTGTTCTTACTCATTTCAGGGTGTTTTTTTTTTTTAATCAACTGTGCATTACCATTGTATTTCCTATTTTACAATTACTATTGTTTTTTTATTATTGTTGCTGGCTATGTGGGGAAATTACCACGACTGTGTATTCTTATAAACTTACACTTTATGAACAGCCCTCACCAACATGCCCCAAAAGCCCCCTGGCATGTCTGTCACGTTCACACAATCAATTACACCTTTGCTATGATTAAAATAAACTTCTCATTTGATTGTATTTCTCAGGGTAAAAGTTGAAACAGTTTAGCCAGCTGTGTTATTTGACCACATGAAGGTTCACAGTTTTGAAGTGATCACGCTATAGTTAAAAATGAAACATACAGTATGCTGCAGTAATTAGTCAGCCTATGATTTTCCCCTTCTTTCATCATGCACTGCACTACTTCTAAAAAAATGTTTTCACCTGTGAACTCACTGTACATCTCAAAATGTTGACTACCACAGCTGTAAGAGAGTGCTGATGAAGCTCCACTTTGACATATTGATCGTATAGTTCAAAATTGAAAAAAGGTCAAAATAAACACTATACTGTACATACAAGTAGGTGTATAAATAAAGTGTGAAGCCCCTTCCACTGTCTTAGAGGCTGTCCTGGCCAAGCTGACAAGGGAAGGTATTCAGCTGGCCCATATGTTTACTCTGTCACCTGCATCACCCTTTGTTGTTTTTTGCACTGCAACACGTCCACTGTGCACAGTGCACACATCCAGGATGCTACTTCTCACATTCCCAACATACAGTGCCAATATATGTGTGGAGGTAGGCGTGGTTAACATTCAGCTGCAGGAGTAAGAGAGGTGTAGAGATGGCCTGTGAGAGTAGCACCGGATGAGTTGATTGTCTCAGTTAGTTCTTGTTGAGTAATCACTCTGGGATCTCGACTGGCTGCTGCACACATACACATAGCACATTTGCATTTGGGGCTGTGATTATTCTTTCTTGAGCTGTAAAGATGGGCTAGAGAAGCCAAGCAAAGAAACAGGGAAGTTGAGTATTTATGTTAAATGTATGTGCAGCCAGAAAATGTTTTTGTTTGTGAACAGTCTGTCATGCTTGGTTGTGTGCTGGGAGGAACCCACGGTGGTAGAGAAACAGGTTAACAATACAATTACTGTGAAGAAATAAATGCTGAATAGATATACAAGAGGAGACTGGTTATGTACAGTATATGCATGTCATATATAGCATATACAGCATGCAAAATTCATATTGACAAGGTTGGATAATATGTACATGTTAAAAACAGTGTGTTTTTAAAACTGTAAATGTAATTTAGAATTTGTAGGTAAGTGGATGTTTTATTTTTCTCCTCATATATATGAAAAACAATATAATACTTAAAGACTTTTTGTTATCCAGAAGTTGCATTTTATATGCCCACTGATGAAAGCAATACAGTCAATTACCACTGTACTATGGTGGTTAGTGATGCTGTGTGTGAAACCTCTCAGTCAGCCACTTTCTTCAACAGCTTGTGCCCAGGAAGAAAATACTCATCGGATCATGACATGGCCGTTTCCCTGTGCCTCACTGTGACCAAAACCGAGAAACGCAACTAGCATTTGGTCGAAATCTAAAGAGCTCAAGGCCCAATGTTCGTGACATGCTAAGATTGAAAAAGCTATATCAGGCTGGGAAGTGAAACTTTGAGAAGATACAACTCACCGTCCTACTGAGACCCTTCACCAAAGGTCAAAACAGTCGACCAAGAACAATAAAACTGATTCAAAC